TCCTGCTGCTCCTGCTCGAGCTCAACACCCTTAGACGGTCTCTCGCTGTGCATCTTGAGTTGCATTCCTTGGCAATTGTTTGGGCGCTTTTGTTTTGTTCTGCAATTTTTACACGAAAAAGTCATTTGAATATGCGTCGCCGTCGTCGTCCTCTCGACTGCCTTACTCACTGCCTCTCTTTTTCTTTCTGCCTGTCTCGCTCTTAATGTTTAGTTAGCCGTCAGCTACTTTGCTGCCTCTCGTCGTGCTTACAGCAGCAGCAGCAGCAACAGCAACAGTAACAGCAATAGCAAAAGCAATAGCAAAAGCAGCAACAGCAAGTTGCAAGTTTTAGTTAAGGTTGAGGGCATGACTTGCGGCTGCCATTAATGTTCTCTCTGCGCTCGCAGCCTTGACAGGCGACGGCTGCAACAAATGGTGACAATAAACAGTACATTGTACGTTGCAACAAACACTCCTGTGTGTGCATGTGTGTGTGTGTGTGTGTCTGCCGCGCGTCAATGCGAGAACAGGCGTCACTTGTCCGCATTCGCCTTTCCATTGAGATTTGTTCATACTAGCTTGCACTTTGGGCAGGTCAGTTGGATTATTAACATTTGGTCATTATGTCTGGGTTATAATTGGAGTGAAGTGTAAGCTTAATGTTGCCACTATATATCGTAGTTTTTCTCGGTTTGCTTAGAATTTGCATACAAATTATACTCTCAAAAAGTGCTTGGAGCAATACTACATTGAAGGATGGAAACGCGATTCTGTCTCGAAGTTCATATTAAGACTATGCCCCCAAAAAGTGATATTAGGAGGGGTCAAGATTTACTGCAGTCATATGTTTGCCAACACTGAAACGATTTGCAAAAACGATAGTTTTTTAATCATGGGCTGACCTCCAGATGATGCCAAGTAAAAGTACTAGTATTTACATTGACATACCAACATATATTGTACTTGAGAACGGTTAAAGACCCAAATATAGCCCCCCTTTAAGATATGTAGGGACTCGTATTCTCTTGCATTCAATACCTATCGAGCGACGTGCAATTACCTCAAAGTTAAGAGTCCTTTGGGACATTTTGGGCTAATCTAGTATCAGTATACTAAATGTGCTTACCGTACGCTGTCTTCGGAGCACATTATCTCTCTCTCTATCTCCCTCTCTCTCTCTATCTTTCTCTCTCTGCCTCTCTCTTACTGCTCAGGGCTGGACATATGTATATGTGCGTTTCAAATATCGTATTCAGAGTGCCTGCCAGCAACCAGTAAGCGAGTATTAACGGACTATCTTCCGTGCCTTTGTTTTGTGCGGGGGAGGGTGTGAGGGATGGTGGGGACAGCCGCTTATCTCAAGTTTGGCCGTTGGCGTTTAGTTTTCCAGCATATCCACACATGCACACAGACTGATACACACATACATGTACATGCCGGCTCTTGGCAACACCTCTGACTGAACTTTGACCGTTTGGTAACTCATTTAGTTAGATTATTTACGGTAATCCAAGACGCAAGCTGCCTGCCAGACTGTCAGCATGCCACACACACAGACACTCGCAGGCACCAAGCAACTAGCCAAAGTGCACATATATTCAGATGGCGATTCTCTGGTTTTGCTGCCGGCTTCTGCAAGGAACAGGAGCAGGAGCCGAAGCATCAGCAAACAAGCAACCCATAGGCTAAATACATGCAAGTTGTTTTGCTAAATTGTGCGTAAGCCAGCAATGGCAACAACAGCATCAAGAACTACAACAAGCAGCAACATCGAATGCAAACAACAACAAACAACAAGGATCTGGCTACTACTAGGAAACTTTCTCAAGCTCTGCATGGCAATTCAAATAAGACTTTTATGTTGCTTTCAGTTGCCTTGCAACTGTACTGCTGCTGCGACTCTTGAGGCTGCCTCGTTGATGCTGCTACGTGTTTGCGGCGTGTGTGTTACATGATTGCCACGCCGCCGCCCCCATCCCACCTTAGCATCCGCCCCGTCTCGCCCACAGTTGCCCACATCCAACTGCTGCTTACCTTAGCAGCTTGTGCGTGCGCTCATTAGCATTCTGAAACGGCTTTATAAAATTCAACAAGCAACAATCCAACGAACCAACAACAGCTATAGCAATAGCAATAGCAACAGCAACAGCAACAGCAACAGCAACAGCAACGGCAACGGCAACAAGAAGCCAAAGCACATCCCAGGCACAGCACCCAAGCCACCCGCCTTCGTCGCTGCCACTTCACCTTCCATGTGGCCAGTGCTGGCTGCATGTTTCTAGATCCCTTAGTCGGCATGTCTCTGTTTGTTAAACTAAACACCCTGTAGGCATAAGCTAAAAGGGTAACCTGCGCTTTAATACAATAAGCAGCTCATCTTAAAGAGAAATATAAACATATATAACGTGTGCTTATAGCTAGAGCAATGTAATTCTGTTGAAATGAAATAAGAAACTAAAACAATGGCAAAAAATGTATTCCTGTTTCTGAAAGATAACTTCAAAACTGAGAGTTACTTAGTCAAAATCAAAGATACCATCGCATAAATAAAATAAAATAATATCGGACAATGTGTTAACAGTGCTCTCATCTTTCTTATTGTATTTATTGACCATAATTCAATTATACATAAGCCTTTAGAATTGTGTTAATTTCATAGAGTAGGAAAAGTGATAAAATAATATAAATTGCTTTACTATTTCCTATGGCTAAATACGACAAAATAGAGTCAGAGTTGACGGGATAATATTAGATAAGCTGAAAGCTTGTTGGATAAGTTTTTCATTTTTAATGAGCTAATTTCAATTTAACGAAAATAATTCCAGTATTTTAAGTCTCTTAAGCTGTTAATCTGTCTGAATGGGGTAATGAAAAAGCAATTTAAGGAATTATAACTTAATTGTTGTTGATTGATTTGATTGCATTCACACTGAGTTCACATTTAAACATTCATATTGTCTTAAGGTCAAATATTATGAAAAACTTAAGCAGAAATTTCGAAACCGTTTATTTTTCTAGAACTAGTTCTTGTGTAGAGTATGTTATAGTCATCTGAATATTGCTGATTATTGTTGTTTTGCATTTTATTGTGCACAAAACACGCACACACACACACACACAATACACAAACACACATGCACACGCTCTTATGCTGTTGTTATCCTGGTCCTGTCTGCTGTCTCTGGTTTTTTTTTTGGTTTTTTCTTTTTGGTGCTCTTTGCTTGCCCAGCCTCGAGTTGCATAAATTGAATCTGAATTTGTGAGTAAATTGCACACAGGAGACACATTATTTTTGAGTTTTGCCTTGTAAATTTGTGGCTTTTCACTTTGATGAGCGAGAAAGAGAGCGAGACTTTGAGACAAAGCGTTACGTTTATAGAGAAAGAGAAGGAGAGAGAGTAGAACAGGGAAATGCAGACATTGCAACAGTCTCTGGGCTTCAACTTTATGTCACTTTGCGTTTGACAATTTTGTGTGACCCACTTGACTGGGAGACACAACCACGCCCACTCTTAGTCTGCCTTTTGGGGTCGCCGCCCACATTTAAATCAATATTAACAGCGTAGGCCTGTTTTCTAGCAATTGCATTGCACAAATTGCTCCGTCTATAAATACGGGCTGAAATGTTTATTTAATATGTGCCAGGCGGTGCCAAGAACAACGATTTGCGAGCAACGAAACCCACGCTTCCAGCTCAAGCTTAGATTCAATGCAATCCGATTGTGCGGCAACCTTTTTCCATATGCAAATTGTTTTTATAAAATTTGCAACAAGCATACATTGTTATTGCTATTGCTTTTGTTGTTGTTGTTGTTGCTGTTGTTGTTGCTGTTGTTGTTGCTGTTGTTGTTGCTGTAGTTGTTATTGTTGCTATTGCATAGCAATTTGTGTACACAAAGTTCTTGCAATAAAAAGCCAAGTGGACAAGGAGCAGTTGTGTAACTGCCCCATTGGCAGAGATACAGCGTGAGAGAGAGAGAGATAGAGATATCGAGAAGGGGGAGGGGGGGGGGGAGATTGAGAGAGAGCGAGAGTGGTATAATCAAAACCGTAACAATCGCCACAATTGCAATAGAATCGACGTTAATTACTGTCTGTGCTTGCGGTTGTTCTTGTTGTAGTTGCTGTTCTAAGTGTGTGTGTGTGTATGGGTGTGTGTGTGTGTGTGTGTGTTTGTGAAGCGCCTAAAAGAGCAAGATAAATACACGAGCAGCGGTTGTGGCTGCTGTGTCTGGGCCAAAGAAGTTGAAGCCAGAAGGAGTCCTGAAGCAGCAACGCCTGGCGCATCGTTAAGCGTCGCTGCCAAGTGCCAAAACTCAAATAAACATAAACGTGCACACACACACACTTACATACACACACACACACACACACAGAGAAAAAGAGAGACGAGGCTTGGCAATACAGCCACACAGCCAAAATCTCTGAGCAGGTTTGTTGTCTTTGGCTGGTCTGTGCCCCCCACTCTGCCCCTTCGCTTCCCGCATCGCTGACTGTGCTACATGGGCATGGGAGACTCATTAAAATGCAGTGCGAGATAATAAGCATTTTAATTAAATATTTAACAAGAATAAGTTTATCACAACACGACACGGGGGGAGAACTGTTACGTGTGTGTGCGTTTAGCTATCTTTCTCTCTCTCGCTCTCTCTCTCTCTCTCTCTCTCTCTATCTCTCCATCTGCCTGTCTGTCTCTCTCTTTCTCGGTGTGTGTAATGGCTTGTAAGCGTCTGTCAGGTCGAGCATTAGACGCTCGTTTTGAGCCGTGGTGGCAATTGGGTTGTAGGCAAAGTCGCCCGGAAAAAGTTATACCAGTCAAGTCAGACTGCTAGCCAATATTTTGATGTAATTTGAGCTTCTAATTGGCGCACGTGCTGCCGAGTTGAGTTCAGGTTTATTCGCAGCTCCTTGTCAAATATTTAAGCAACTTGTCTAACCGTGTTGATATTTACATTCATCTCATCTCTCTAACTCTCTTTATCTCTCTCCCTCTCTCTCTCTCTCTTTCTCTATTGCAGAGGTTTTGGCTTCGTCACATTCAGCGATCCAAATAGCGTAGATAAGGTACTTACCCAAGGCACACACGAGCTGGATGGCAAAAAGGTAAAGAAAAAATAACACATATTCACACACACACACACACGCGTACACACACACACACACACACACACACACACACACACAACTATGCATATGCATATGCCCAGAACGGAAATCTGTCGCGACTAGTAAAATTCGAAAACTCAAACCCAAAAATTGTAACTCGAACCCAACTCATGACGTTGACGCAAACAAAAAACTTCCACCAGCTATGCAAAATATTTACTCAAAGCACAGAACGAGCCGCGCACTCTTCATAAATTTGCCGTTGCCGTCGCCGTCGCCGTCGTTTCTCTTTATTGACAGCAATTAGAAACTCAAAGCAATGACAGGCAACTAACAAAAACAGCAAATCAGAACAGTTAAAAACAAAAAAAAAAAAAAAAATGAAATGAAACACATGCAAAAATAGTAGAGAAGAAAAGAAAACAATAACCTGACTTTTTTTCGGAGCAGGCTCGACACAAACGAGATTTCCGTGTGAAAATGAGAAACAATTTTTAATTACGTGAATCTGTTATGTGGGGCAGGTGGTGTTGATGATGGTGCACGTGTGCATCAAATGATCTGCTACATTTTCACAGTTTTCATTATTATTTTTTTGGTGATTCCGTAAACTGTCTAACATTATGTTTAATAGCAGCGTTTTACAGCCAAACTAATCAAGTCAAAATTTTGCTGAACAGTTTTCCAGTTGAAAATAAGAAGTTATTGTTTCGAAATTTGTTCCTTTTAGTCACATAAACAATAAATAAACCTAAATCATTTCGGGTAAGGATTCAGTTAAGGCAAACTGACTGATTAATAAGAAGAAATGTATTTAAATAAATAGATATAATTAAAATGCCCAAATCAGTCTTAAACCAAAAAGGGTATTTCGCATACAATTCGCTTTTAGTTTCATCAAAACTCGAAGAATTTGGTAACTTTAGAGCATAAAGATTTCCGTATGTGAGCAGCTCTTAGCCCAGTTAAATGCATGTGATTGATGAATTCTGTTTGATTAGATTGATGGCCGGAAACTGATGAAGATGGGTCCAGTTTTAAGGCAGCTCTCGCATTACGCATACGCCGCATTGGCATTAGCTTAATTAGCTAAAGCTGGTCCGAGTGTTGTCTGTTTGACTGTTTGGCCATCTGTCTGTCTGTCTGTTTGTCTGTCTGTCTGCCTGTCTGTCTGTCTGTGTGTGAATATATTTTGTTTTGTTCGTGTCTGTCTGTGTTTGTTGGTCATTCTTTTATGGCTACACAGCTGGCCAACTGTAAATAAAAGGCGCAGCCATCATTTATATGTATATTATTTTCGTGTATATTTGTTTTTTTTTTGTTTGTATTTGTTAACCAACTGCAGTTTTGTATGCACACACACACACACACACACACACATGTGTATTTATAGTGTGTGTAGCTCAGTCGTGCAGATTTCGTGTTTCCGTTTGGCTGCACAACACAGCACTGGAAAACTGAAAACGATGCGAATTCATTTCATTTCATTTCGTTACGCTTTTTCGGTCTGATGTATTTTCAAAAAGTCGACGTCGACGTTGCCACTCAGCGCTGATTAGTTTTAATTTTAATCTAAAAATCAATTTCCCGCCAGGCAGCTGCCCCTTCAACGTCGATTTTGCTCTTACTGTTTTGTTGGTTGGTTGGTTAGTTTGTTGTTTTGTTGTTGTTGCTGTTGTTTTCTGTATGCTGCACACAGGAAATCAACACAGCAAACTGCCGTCCTGTGACAATTTTCGTGAGAATTATTATCGCCAGAGGATATTGCGTTCGTTTCTCTCCTCTTTCTCTCTCTCTCTCTCTCTCTCTCTTCACAATACATACCCCCGGCCTTCTCGATTCCTTGGCTGTCTTTGCCAATATCTCCTCATTTTATTTGCCATTTTATTTGCGGCATTGGCTTAAGCTACTTTCGCACTTGCACCCAAATGCAGCTCAAAGTCACTTGAAAAAGATTTAGCAGCGCAAAAGAAGTAAAAAACCCCCAAGCAGAAATCATCCCACATCCGCCTCTTTGAGGTTTACCGTTAGCTGTCAGGACTCTGAGCGCTGTCAGCCTGTGTGTGTGTGTGTGTGTGTGGGTGACAGCCGCAAAGAAGAAGCAACCAAGGCACTTAAAATTGAATTTTTATGATTTTTAATTATTTTTAATGACGCTGCTTATTGGATGCTGAGATCGCAGCGGAGTCGAAGGCGAAGGCTTCTCCATCTGCCCGCTGGTCGTGCAATTTGTTACGCGTTAATTCGTGCGTGCTCAGCTCCAAGTTGGGGAGCATACCGCAGACCACACGTCCCCTCGTCTCTCATCCATCCTTCCATCCATCCATCCCTCCAACCACATTCACTAGGAGTAATTCTCGCTTAATGCGCAATGCAGGCTTATGCAAGATTTATGTTGGGCTATTAATATGAAGAGTTGCTCGAAATGCTTTTTCATTTAAATGTCATTAAGCATACGATTTTCTACCACTACGCATACTCTCGCTCTCTCTCTCTCTCACTCTCTTTGGTCTGTCTTGCTCTCTCTCTCTCTCTCTCTCTCGCACTCACTCTTGCTCATTCTTTTTCTGTTTTTTGCTTGCAGGTGGACCCGAAAGTAGCTTTTCCGCGACGTGCACATCCCAAGGTAAGTACCCACAGAATTATTACCAAAAAAAAGAATATGAAAAAAATGCTGTGAATCGGATGGAATGGGGTATTCGGGTAGTGGGTAGTTGGGTGGGTGGTGTGTGGTTTGGGCAAAAGGATGTGTCATAAGTAGCAGCAAATGGCAGATGAAATTAAAAACGGAAGATGACAACAACAACAACAACAACAGCATGGCGAAAACATTACGAAAAAGTGGCAGGCAGATAACTTTGTGGCTGACAGTCAGCTTCAACTCCAACTCCATCTTCGCATCCCACCACACCTCCACCCCTTTTGCAGCCATCAGTTACAGTTGTTTCTACGCCTCCTTCGCTTTCATTGCGTCGCCTGCAAAGTGATGATGACAACAGAATTTCGACAGCAATGAGTGTTCCAGCTTGTGTGTGTGTGTGTGAGAGTGTGTGTGTGTTTATTTGGGTGCTTGTGCCTCCGTTTTGGGCCTCTTGCTGCCACCATCTCTATCTTTATCGTTGCCCCACTGCCTACTAAATGCCACACGCACATTTCGCTGCCGCTGCGCTCGGTTAGACAGAGTTACAAATGTGCCCATCTATGTTGATTTTTTTTTACTTCCGAACATACTCTAGCCAAAAAAAAGACATACGCAATCTGAGTGCTCGATGTGGTTAAGCTAATGCGAGACTCAGATTGGTCAAAAATTGTGCTTCCCATTTTAAGTGCAGTATATAGTTAAGAGGCTTATCCATATTAAAAAAGTCATTATTTGATCTTAGGTTTTTTTTTAACAATGTTAAAACTGTGTTAAATTTCATTACTTTAAAAAGAAAACCACTAATGTGATGTCTTAAGCCTAAAATGCTAAAGTTCTTATAAAGCATTTTTAGTCTTTTTCTTAAGTAAATTCCTGAATGCTAAAAACTAAAAATGTTCTTTACTAACCAGCTTATCTCTTTATATTAAGCTTAGTGTATTCTCTAATGCGGCTTTGCTGTACTTTTTGATTTGGTCGCAGCGATACTGCGACTAACCGCAAAGCACACCATAATACGCACCCAAAACGACACTCGCAAATACACACACACACACGCACACACACACTCACACACACGCGCGCGCACAGAGTGTGAAAGCCTTGAGCAGAACAAGACCAAACCCGGAGGCAGCTCCTTCTTAGTCTGTCTCTCCTTGAAGGCTCGCTCGCTTGCTTTTGCTTATCAACACGCAGCTGATTTCCGTTGCTATTCCTGTGGCGCGTGTTACCATTGTCCACCCCCTGCCCCATCCGCGTCGCATCTCTGACGCACAGTCGCGCCTTTGGCTGTGGCAACGGCAGCACCCAACAATTATTTACGTAATGTTATTATTATAATATTTTTTTTAAACGCATTCTCACTGGATTTGCGCCCTGCCACGCAACTGTAGGGAGAAAAAGGACGACTAGGACAACGACTACGCTGGCTACGCGGCATTTGCGAGTGGCTTTGTGTTCTGCTCTGTTCAGCGTTTCGTTTCGTTTTTTTTTTCTTCTCCCAGTTTGGGGCGCGCGAAGATCCTCTCGCATATTAAAAGGCGTTTAAAAACATAAATCCAACGTCTAACGGCTGCTTATGAAAATTACGAGAAAAAAATGAGTGACGCAGAAGGGAGAATTGGGGGGCGGTGGGTTGGCGCTTGTGGGGCCAACAACGAGGCGGAAGGCTATAGACGAGCTTAGCAAGCAGGCAGGCAGGCAGGCAGGATGGCAAGACAGGCAGTCAGCGCCCCAAAGGAGTTGCTACGCAGGACACAAAAAAAAAAATTGCATGCGACATCAGAAGCGCCAAATAAAAGAAGAAGCAAAAAGAAAAACTGACGAGAGGACAATTTCTCGCACCGTTTGTCGGAGGCTCAGGCAGAAGGATTGCCCACAAAATGTGGCCCAAAATGCTTGCGGTTGCAGCGAAAGTTAAGAGTTTTTTTTTTTTATTTTATTTTTAAAGTAGTATAGTCATAGGCAGGCAGTTAGAGGGGAAACTGGAGACTGAGAACCAGGCCATATAATGAAATGAAGCATACTAAATGAGACTGCTAAGTTTTCGAGCTGTGCATACACACAGACACACACACACACACACACACAACCATAGCGAACATAATGAAATGCGAAAAAATGATGATGATATTTTTGGACCATAAAATGCAGATGAGCCGACTAAGCACAAAATAGTGTTGCTGGAGCGTGCAGGACGAAAGGACGACAGGAGCAGAGTAGTACAGGAGCACATTTCGAGTAGGCTTTGCGTCAAGGGCTGTGACTAAAAATTCGCATCCGACTTGGGTTACACACATTTCACATACTAGAAATATATAAAACATTACACATACGCCATGTATGGCGTCGCATCGACAACTCGACGAAACGACGACAACGACTCGCTTCTAACGTTTGTGCAAACTTTTGTGAAGTTAATTTCTTTGCTTTTAAGCTCTCAGACTATGAATATGAAATGTGTATTTGTGCAACTTGTGTTTGTCCAATGGGTCTCCTCACAATTGCTTCCTATCTAGGGGAATGAATGTCGGAGGGGGGGTCTGTGGTGTTAGGGGGGTGGAGGAGCAGAGGTTATGGCTGGCAGTGGCTTACATATGTCATGTTAAAAAGTTCGCTTTAATGTGCAAAATTTTTGGTGGCCAAAGCCATAAAAGTGCACTGGATAAGTGAAATGGATTTTGCTCGGCTGCCCCACAAAAGTATGCTATAAAAACTATATGAACAAAAACAACAGCAGGAGAAGAAAAATAATACTAACGTATCTGTAGAGACAGCGGCTGAACTTGCTGTGAATTTATGAACGTTTGAAAGCGACATTCACACACTCAGCAAACTCGAAATCAAATATGTTAAAATAAGCTTAAGTCCCTTTTATTCATACGTTTAACTACCAGCCAATTGAGCTAGACATATATATTTTATATAATCCATAAGGTTCACAAGTGTCCCATAGCTGTAGAGGAAAAAGAATAGTTTGCTTCATTTTTAAAATACTCCTGTTTAAAATAATAAAATGTATGACACTTTTACATTAACTTAACAATTTTGAATGACATCAAAATTGAAAATATTTTACAGGCCAGATAGATTTTTATTTGAATTTTTAACAACTCTGATACAATTGAGGGCTAAGAATTGCCACTAAATCCTCCAAGTCAGCTTTGTCCTTTCCAAATTGTATTTATGTATATTTTGATTTCGGAATGCAATTGAAACTACATTTTTAGCTAAGGTAGAAAATATTCGAAATCCGTTCGAATTACTTGGATTGTTGTCCGGGTTTATATTTCTTTACTCGGTTTTCATAGTCTTCAATATTTGTCTGGCATATTTCGATTGAAATTTCCAGCCGCATTCAATTCAAGTACAAATTATTTAAACCATTGCCAGCTTTTCCAAGTCCTGTGACATTCCTCAAAATATAATTGTGTAACAATGAAACTATTCTTTTCGTTGTGGTTGCTGTTGTTGTTGTCCAAAATCTGGTAACTACAACCACAGCAGGCATCGAGATGTGAATGCATTAAAATACCAATAAGTGAAGCTGTCAAATTATCGATTGTGAAGGTATTTGTAAGCCTATTGGGCTTAAAATGCAAAACAGATTACAACACAGAGTCAAACTGTAAAGTATGCAATAGTAAAGTATGTATGCAATTAAGGCACAAATCCAGTCAATGTGTGTGCGTGTGTGCGTGTGTGTTTGTGTGATTGAGTGTGTGGTGTGTGGAAAACAATGTGGCTTCGATTGCATGACCATGTCATAATGAAGCACATTTCGGGTTCCTGGGCCAAATGACAGATATCAGCCATATAAGAGAGAGAAAGCGCCTCACTCATGTTGCCATTAAATTAACACGCTCGAATGTCTGCTACTCTATGACGGTCTATATGTCAGTCTGTATAAGTGTGTATATGTGTGTATGTGTGTCTGCATGTGTGTTTGTGTGTGTGTGTGTGTGTATCTTGTGTACATTGTGGAAACTTTTCTAATTTAAACCGGCAGTTTCAGTCAATTGCCACAGCTTACCGCTTTCGACATGAGTTTTACTTTTTACTACCTTTGCAATTCAACAGCACACCAGAGATAGACTGGGTGAGAGAGAGAGGGAGAGAGAGAGAGAGCGAGAGGGAGACGTCGTAGTGAAGAGTGCGGAGATATATTAGTTATTTCCAATACATTAAAAGTTGTGTGAATACACTTGCCAGAATCCATTTCAATACACACATAAAGACAGACAGACATGTTGAAACCAAGCCATAAATCTAATAAATACGTGTGTTTCTCGACTGGTCCCTCTACACTCCCCACATTCCAAGCCCCACTTTCCCTTCCAGCCGCTATTTGGAGTGTGCAATAACTTGTAAAATATGTAATCAATCAAGATGAAACAGTCGTTGAGGCAGCCAAACTATGTGCAAAGTATGCGTCTGACTGCAGTTGCAGACGAGCAGTTGAGATAGAGAGATACCGAGAGAGAGAGAGATGGAGGGAGGGAGGGAGGGGAAGTGAGGTATTTTGATGGGTGGGGCAACGTGGCGATTAATTCAACTTTTACACAGACAATGGCGCGCTTTCCAACTAGCACTCCAGAGACAGAGATGGAGAGACAGGCGGTGTGTGCGAGTGGGCGAGCCATACAAAGGCAGCCTAGACTCCCCCGTTCTCCCTCTTGAGCAGAAAAAAAAAGAAGAAAAAAAGTCAAAAGTTGAAAGTGCAATTTTGTCGTTATTATTTTACATTTACAACAAAAGGCAAGCAGGCAGGCAGGCAGGCATGCAGGCAGGCAGCAAAAGCAAGCCAAACCAAAAATACAACAAAAAAAAAAGTATAAGAGCGAAAAGTTATTCAACTATTTCATGCAGCGGGGCCAACCGCTGAGCATGTGTATGTGTGTGTGTGTGTGTGTGTGTATACGGTGTGTGGGTGTGTGCGGTGTGTGTAATTGTCAGTTAGTTGGCGCTGTCAGTCCGAATGTTGAAAT